GCCCCATCCTCCTCACTGCCTCCCTTGAGGTACTTCTAGACACTGCTCAGGTCCCCTCTCAGCCTTCTCTTCTCCAGCTGAACAGGCCCAGCTCCCTCAGCCTCTCCTCACAGGGCAGATGTTCCATAGGGCAGATGTTCCATAGGGCAGATGTTCCATAGAGCAGATGATGGAAGGGAAGAGGAGGCACAGCAAGGGGCAGAGCGGAGGGAAGCAGGCCGAGGTTTAGCGGCTGGCCTTTGCGGGGGGGGGGCCGCGCCGGCGCGGGGGACGGGGGCCAACGGCTGCAGGGAGTCGTCCGGGCAGCCGGGGGGAAACGCGCTGCTCCGTGGGCGTGCGGAAGGCACACGCTTGGGCTCCCATCTCCTTTTCCATGTTTGGGTGTAAGGAGAGCTAAGGAGCAGGGAGGGCTTGAGCAGGGGGAAAAGAGGCAGGACGCCCGCGTGGGATTGGCCTTGTGAATGCATAAAAGCACCGGCTCTCAGGCCACCGGGCAGGTGGAGAAGGGGGATCGAGTGCTGCAACGGTGCAGAGCGCGCGCAAGCCCGCAGTGGGAGCAGGAGCGTGTCCTGGTCCCCAGCCTCTTGTGTGGGTTCGCTCCCACGGGAATTCCTACAACACGCAGTAAAACCTCCGTCTGCCCGTGCCCAGTCACTGTTTGGTTTTGCATTTTCCCCTGTCGTTCAGGTCCTGGATGTTTCCGGAGCCGACATTTTAGCAAAAGCTTTTCCCGACTGCCACGTGCATATTCTGGAGAACTGCGGGCACACGGTGGTGGTGGAGAGGCCCAGGAAGACGGCAAAGCTCATCCTGGAGTTTCTGGCGCTGCTGCACAGCACAGAGAACAACAAGAAACAAGCGTGAGCCCCGCGGGGAGCCCGGCGCCGCCGCCACGCGTCTCAGCCGTAAAGTACTGACGCTTTGATGAGTTCTCAGGGATCTCGTACAAATCACGGTGGATGTGCCGACGTCCCTGAGGAGGCAAAAATCACATCAATCGATAGCACTACCGCCACACGGGGACCTAGGGATCATTGAGCAACCTACATTTAGATAAAAATGGGAACAGAATCTCTCAATTTTCTACCTTTGCATAAAGTAGAAGTGATCTGAAATCACAAAAGCCTAGCCATGGAACATGCTGAAGCTCCTTACACGGCACACGCTATGTAAGCTACCAGCACGTAGTTGTCTGACGTTTATCAAAATACTTATGAAGTTTAGGAAGGAAGAAACATCTTGGACTGAGACTTCAATATTTCTCCTCCTTGACTCTGCTGCGTTGCATGCGATGTTGTTATAAGAGAATCCTAATGTCCCAGGCATTTGCTAACGTGCTGTTTATGTAGCTCATTAACTATGATTTATGCAGAAAAAAAAAAAAAGGCAGAAAACTTCATGTGTGAGAGTAAAATGAGTGTATGTCCAAAATGTTTACATTTCTGGTGAGTGGATTTTTTAAATCCCTGAGCAGCTCCTGTGTCTATGTAATGCCTTAACAGCCCAGAATATCGACGTCCGCCAGCAGCGTGGCCTCCTCGGGGGCGGTTTCCTCTGACGTGAAACCTGTGCGGTGTGAAAACTCAGCGTGACGGCAGCGGTTTTGGAGCACTTGTGGAACTGAGCGGAGCAAAACCGAGCGGAGCAAAACCGA